CTGTTCTTTTTCTATTAAGGTTAATGTTGAAGAAGGAAAATGCGGAAGTCGTCATTTGACAAGTTTTATAAATGAGTATTTGAAGCTCAGGAATAAGTGAAGCTGAAATTTGAAAAAATAAAAGAAAGAATGCATGCTAATTATCAGACCAGAAGTCCCACTTGTAGAATATTGAGCAATTTGTGTGAAGTGGGGAAGATGAAAGAAGTCAGAATTTGAAACGGAAGAATGAAGAAAAGAAATAAAAATGAAGTTAAGATAAGAAGTAATCTGGAATCAGAAAGCACTACGCTAAGTAATTACTAGTCTGTTTATGTGTCCCTGTATATTTTGCTAAACATGCATGCATTATTTGTTTAATAGAAGAAAATATATACAGGGTAACGAAGTGCCTTCCAAGGGAAACGTATAAATTAGGTAATTCTAATTTTAACTGCTTAGTCAAATGATTGAAATGCAATTCTTTAAAAATAACCCTTTGTAGTCAAATACCAGGCAGTGATAAGCTCTCCAGCATGGGTAACAGTTGGCCTCCTGTTGTCCCTTACATTTTTCATCTAACTAAGCTTGTTCTGGGACATGAGTGAGTACCTTCTGAGGTTGGAACTGCTGGTGGTATATGCCACCTCCATCCTCCCAACTCTTAATGCACTGACCTTTATCCTTCAGTACTAAATAATATATGATTATAATGTTTTTCTGTTGGAAGTTTTCAAAAGAATGTCACCAAGATGGTTATGAAGCCAAACCCCCAAAATCCAAGCAAAGCATTGAACCAGGATAGTTAAATTTTGGAATGAAAGCATTAGTTTTTTCCCAAATGGTGTTAGTGGAAAGCTGCAACCATTTAGGCCCTAATATTCAGATGCATATGTGCCAAATAGGAACGATTCTTCAAATTTTGTTTAATGCTTGTTCCAGCCAAATGACTAAGGTTTCCGCTAAAATATAATACCTTTCCTTGGAAGAGGTGGGTCATACAAGTGAAACAGGATAGCTAATTCAAAATGTAATAGTAGTAATAGGTGCTTTGTTCCATTTTCTGTTATCAATGTTTAGCTATTATGATATTAAAGACAGATTCTAAAATAGTTTTTTTCTAGACTGCTATCTCTATCACTTCCTGAGGACACCAACTCAAAGTTCTGTCTTTTCTCTTTCTGTGTTTCATTGTAGCCAAGAAGAGTCAGATGATGGTGTGATGTTGTTGCCCCTGGTTGGATGGGACAAGTACACATATCAAAATAATTAGTAACCCCCAACAGTTGTCTTCTACACAATTTAGAATGCCAAGGGTATCATCTTAATACACTTTTTTTTTTTGTAAACTGAAGGCAGCTTTAAAACTTTCTCTCAGGTGTAGGTCTTAAAGCTCTTGGAGAAAGTAATTTACCCCTGAAACTTACAGGATCCATTTTTTGATACTTGGGGGCCTATTATCACAGTGTGAAAGTTGTACTTTTTATATTATTATTGCATTTTGTAAACAGAAGAAAAATATTCCCATTTATAAAGTTTTTGTATTCATTTTGCCTTAATTGTTGCTTTGTAAAACTTGCTATAAATAAACCAGTATAACGACATGAATAGTGCTGATTTTGCACATAGCAGAGGTAAAAATTATGAATATTTCTGTTCAAGCCCCTGGATTCTTTTATCAAGAGACCTGAAAGGTCTAGAGAAAAGGGCCTTTTAGCCCCATAATCTATCGGAACCAGTATGAAATTTAATTATGTGGCCCAAACTGGAAAGACTTAAGGTAAAAATGTTGACGCTGAATGCTGGTGGATTGTCAACATCCATTCCTTCTTGGCCAAGTCATCTTTGGGTATTAGGGTGGCTTCTCCCTGGGCCATTGGGGAGACAAGGGAAGTTACAGGCCTTTGTCCTGGGACAGGCAGTATAAGGAAGACAAAAATAATCAGGAGTGTTGATAAATGTTAGGGATGGATAGAAACATGGTTCCAGGAGGGCGGGGGGATCAAATAGAAAGCTTATAACTTCTGAAATTGAGTCAGTAAGACTAATCTAGCATCATACTCAAGTGTACTTTGATTTTAAGTTAATGAGTGGGTGCCCAACTCCAGACTTACTAAGTATTAAAGAGGTTTAGTGGATACCTCTGTTCTAATATACTGCATCTAGTTTTTTCAATAATATAGGGATTGGATGGTTATTTCTGCTTTTATCATCTCTTTCAAATAATTTCTGAGATTATCACTGTTCTCAATAGGGAGATGTCATCATATTTTGTTGGAAGGCTTATTTTTTTAATTTTTTTTTTTTAAATTTGTATTCCTTGTAGGTTGTATATTAACATATGACTAAGAGCCAATCAATAAGAACCAGGATTCTCTGAGCATTTTTCAGGGAATTTTTGGCTTTATTGTATTGATGCTAAAGGCATGTGTCCTTAGCAGTTCTTTTTGGTAGGGTTTTACTATTACTATTACTTTGTCTGCCCTGGGTGTGGAATTTGAAGTATCCTGTGTAGGGGCTTTTCCCCAACTGGTTTTATAGATTTGCCTGTGTATTAAGACTTAATTTATGCTTTGGATTTGGCTAATCTTTTAGGTCTCATTTCTTTTAAGCAAACTAAATTCCTTACATATATCTTCCCAACCAGCTAAGTGGCAGAAGGCTTTAATTTTCCTAAGAAAATATCCCTCATAGGAAAGAAAGTAGAGGTACTATTTAGGTGTTAACCAGATGGCAGTAGACAGGGTATTCCCCTTATTCTTGGTATAAGAAATTATTATGAAATTTTGCATAGCCTGTTAGATTCTGAGGCTGAGTGAACTCTGATTTTATAAATACACTGTCTGGCTCTTGGTCTGCTCTGATTTCATGAATAAATAAATAAAGACTTATTTCCTAGACTAGTGCTTGTGAAACAGACTAAAGCATCTCAGCTTGGAATAAAGCTTTTCTGTTGATTGAAGCCAAGAAATTTGTGAAAAGGGTTCTTGCCTCTATACCTGATCTTCCTTTATATTCAAGTTCCAGTGTTAAAAATTTGTTAGCTATAACATTAGAGATTTTAACTGTTAACTGTAAGGCATTGGTGTTCTGCTCTCCTTCATGAGCAAGTAGTTCTATTTGGTTTCTATTAAAGCTTATAATTATTCCATTAAGTTATATTTCTAGCACTGGAATAGAAGCATTTAGATAACTTGTTCCTCATTTATCTTCTAGATTAGCTTTTGCTTGTAGTGAAGATGGTAAAATTTGCACTCATATTTTTGAGGAGTATTGAGAGTAGAGATAAAGTGTCTTTCTAAATGTTTGTTGGAACATTGAATACAGAAATCTAAGGGCTTGTAAATTGTGGTTTCCAGTATAGCAATACATCTTTAAACCATTCCTTCTGTTGAGGGTATCTATTTCTCAAAAACAATCTGAGGTTCTTTTTTCTTGTCTTTGCAGTCATTTATTGAAGAGGAGGATTGGTAGACAGGAAAGCCTGTGTAGCATTTCAAAAAGTTGTTTGTGGTATAGAGACCCAAATTCATTTTCTTTGTTAGACTTTTCTTCCCTATTTTTGAACTTAAACTTGATCTTATCTGTTTGGTGCTATCTACACCCCTTACCCCCTGATTCCCCCCTCCCCCAAGACATCATAGAAAGGATCTTCTGAGTGTTTTCCACTATCCTGTAAAAAAAAGTTTGTATTCTAAAAGGTTTTTAAACTGTAATTAAAGCCTTTTAGAGATGCCAGAATATTCTGAAGTTTGGCAGAGGGGCGATCTCTTGTGATAACTTATATTTGGATTCAGACTTTACAGTGACTTGATACTGTAAAATTGCTTCATTTTCAACCTGGCCATTTGTGCTGTGTCTCAGAGTTTCATTTTGGATTTCTAGGTCTTAAATTGGAAAACCTACAATGAATGCTGTCTTGCTTGGTGAGAGCTTAGTTATCAAAGACTTGGAGTCTCTTATCTTCTTGGTACCATTTGCAGAACTTTTCCCTAATTCTGTTACTAGCTATATTGCACATGCCTCTTCTGCTGTTTGACATGTGTCGTTAACTCATTGAATTAAATATCCTATTGAGACGTTATCCTTTGCTGGTTTCTTTTTGAGATCTTTTTTGTGCTAGCCTGCCAGCTACTTGAATTTTGATTGAGAAAGCTTAGAGTACACAGATAATCTAGACTTCAGTTTTTGCTTGTAGTTCCTGATCACCTTTCCTTCCTGGACCCTAGATTAGTAGTTGATGATTTAATCTGTCTTGGTTTTAATATGTATTTTTTATATAACATTTCTAGTTTATTTATTCTCAGTTTCTTATAAGTTTACCCTGACCTGTCTCCATGTAGCTGAGAAATCTAGGTCTTAACAGGTCATTGCCTTTCTACTTAAGCTCCATCTGATTACGTTGAATTTCTTAGGAGCCTCCCACCATTATATGAACCCTAGGGTCTTATAGAATTTATTTAATGTCTATATGGCTGGTCCTTGCTTTCCACTAGGTTTCCACCTTTAGGACTTAAATGAGATCATTGTCCTTGTCTCTTTCCGCATTCAACAATAAATACAAGTCTTGAAAATTTGAAGTCTTAATGAAAACTATCAAAAGTATTCTAAAAGTAAGTTTTGCAAATTTTGTAGGGTTTTTAAATTGATTGTAACTTAAATGAAAGTTATAAGTTATAGATTTCATAGTTAATAAGATTCTTTCTCACCCTGGTCTTTATGGAGTAACATTCCCAAAATACAATCCTTGGACAGTTCCCTTAACCACCCTTTCTTCAGGGAGTGGGATCAGGTAACTCTTATCCCTGCTCCAGAAAGGTCGAAGAAAGGACAAATTAATTGACTTATGTCAGTTGGAGGAATGAAACTATTATACCAGGTATATGCAATTCCTGCCCTTACCTATGTTTTCTTATCTTTGGAAGAGGATTGCTCTCCTCACCATTTACCTCACAGCAGCTTGTTTGTTTTTGAAGTTGCCCAGAAAGTATACAAATTAAACTTTTGACATCTACGTGTAGGAATCCCGTTCTGCTTCCAGAAGTGGAAGTGCTCACGGATCTGGGAAATCTGCAAGGCATACCCCTGCAAGGTCTCGCTCCAAGGAAGATTCCAGGCGTTCCAGATCAAAGTCCAGGTCCAGATCTGAATCTAGGTAAGAAAGACAATCTTGAGATTTTCTTCTGTTTCTCTTAGCTCTGAAATTGGTGTGTGCTTTGTTAAACTAGGAAGATAGAGAGGGTTAGATTTTTGTTGGCTTATTTAATATTGGTACTAGAAACGAACCTAGGTTGTGGAAGAGAGACTTTTAAGTGGTTAAGAGCCTGGGCTTTTGGAGTCAGGGTTCAAATCTTACCTCTATTTTTGCTGGCTTAGGCAGATTACTTACTTAACCTTTTCAACGTTAGCTTATTATCTATAAAAGGCAAGTTATATTAGTTTTTTTGAAGTTGTGAGGATTCACTATAAGCAAACTGTTTGTTAGTTTGGCAAATATTAAAACATTAGTTTTCATTAATTGCAGTTCTTTTAAATAGGTGTAGTCCAGTGTGGATTAAAAAACTTACCACAGTGTTGGAGGGGTTTGGGAGCTTTTTTGTGTGTGTTAAGAGAAGGCTGTGCATCCTGCTTTGCTTGGAACAGTCGCAAGTTATTAATGCCTCTTCAGACATAATTAACAGCACCTCTTCTCTCAAATGTGTCCTGGATCGAGTGGTAATGCTAGTCGAGAGCCACTTATTGATCTTTTAAAAAATAAACTACCGGTGAAAAAACTGCCTGTGGTGTTGATTTTATAATTGTGTTAAAATGAGTAGTGGGAGACAGAAATAGTGGTATTAAAAGCAAAAGATGTGCATAAACTAAGCTAGTAAAGTGCTGCATGCCTTGATTTTTCAGAAGATGAGTATAAATTTGATTTCATCTTTTGTTAATTTGAAGAAATGTTGGTATAGCTTGTGGTTTTGACAACACTTCTAGCAAAGTTGAAATGAGAGAAGAAAAAATGGACTCCGCTTAAATTGGTGATCATGTTAACATATCTAGATTGTATCCCTCTTTGGGAGTTTAACCTCCAATAATAAAAGCATTGAAAGTCATCTATTTCAGTTATTTATTATAACCTTTAAGCCTTTGTCTTAACAGGTCTAGATCCAGAAGAAGCTCTCGGAGGCATTATACAAGGTCCCGATCCCGCTCCCGCTCCCATAGACGTTCCCGTAGCAGGTCTTACAGTAGAGATTATCGCAGACGACACAGCCACAGTCATTCTCCCATGTCTACTCGAAGGCGCCATGTTGGCAATCGGGTAAGATGAAAAACTTTTTTAAGCAGTACTGCCTAAATTTATTCCCATCTCATTCCCTCCCCCAACCAAGAACTGGTTTTTATAGCTGGCCTGTGACACCTGCCTATAATCATAATCCCAATGACTTTGAGATGAGGCGGGAGGATCCCCAGGTTTAAGGCCAACCTGTCTCAATAAAAACAAGTACTCTAGTAAAAGTACTCTTGGGTTCAGTCCCCAGTACCTTATCACTGCCCAATAAAAAAACTAACAGGACAGTGGAGCTATTAGCAGTATAACATACAGCTCCATACTGATGTTACTCATAATTCTGGGGCGGGGTTTATAAATTTTAAAAGGTGCTCTCCTAAGTTTTTTCAAACTTACTTTAAACTTATTTTTGGTATAAGGAGTTTGTTTTTAAAATGGAATGTAATTTCCCTAGTAAATTGTGATATAAAAGTGAAACCTGGTAACTTCATTGTGGAAACTGGAAAGTTAATAACATGGTCCTTTTGTTGTATCAATGCTGACTGCTTAATAGGTGTTAAAAATGGTTTGGTATACATCTTCTTGGGTTGCATTTATTTGCTGATTTCCAGAAAATACTAAATGGAAAGTCTGGACATAATAACTTTCCACTCCATCACTAGTATGATGAAATCAGGTGCTGTGCCGTTTCCTAGGCAAGGCATGAGCCATCCCTTTGTATAACATGTTTATACCGCATATGCTACCCCCACCATTACTCACTTAGCCATCTGAAAGCAGCTGAGACCATATTCATATAATTACTGTTACTGTGCCTATTTTGTAAGTCAAGTTTTTTCATAGGTACATAACCGAATTGTTTAAGGTATAATAATAGAAAAGTCTGTTTTAGTACAGGTGTAATTTAAAAAAAAAGCTGTTTTTTTTTTTTTTTTTTTTTTTAAGTTGAAGATGAACACAAAACTTTATTTTTATGTGGTGTTGAGGATTGAGCCCAGTGCTTAACACTTGTGAGGCAAGCACTCTACCACTGAGCCACCAACCACCCTGGCCCTACAGTTGTAATTTTTACCTACCGATGAATGAGGGCTGACTTCTAATTTTTTTTAGTGCCATTTTTTCATCATGACATTTACATTTTAGTAGGCAATTAAGAAATATAGTGGTGTTTTTTGATATTGTTTTTGGTGCTGGGAATTGAGCCCCAGCCCTTGTAGTAATGATTTAAAGTATACAAGAAGGTTATGTGCAAACAGTTTTTCATTGTAGGAGCAATATGTGCTAGCAATTTGAACATCCAACTTTAGTATCTGGGCAGGGCCAATAGAAATAATGCCTATGGACAAAGTGATAACTATAGCATTGGGTATGTGTGTTCTTGTGAAAGCCTGAATGTTTTTTACTTTTTTGGTTTTTGTTAGAGAATTAAATCCAGGTTGCATTACCACTAAGTTACAGCCCTGTTTTTTTGTTTTTTCTTTTTTCCTCCCTTTTGAAACAGGGTCTCAACAATTTCTTCTGTGGTCTTTGTGCCCATTCTTTAAAATATTTGCAGTGCTTTGTAATTTTTAAATGATATTTGGTCTAATTATATATCTTACAGGTTCCTTCACATTATTTCTAAAGAGGTTTTCAAAGTTTAATACCCTTTTTTCTATTTCTAGGCAAATCCTGACCCCAACTGTTGTCTTGGAGTATTTGGGTTGAGCTTATATACCACAGAAAGAGATCTGAGAGAAGTATTCTCTAAATATGGCCCCATTGCTGATGTGTCTATTGTATATGACCAGCAGTCTAGACGTTCAAGAGGATTTGCCTTTGTGTATTTTGAAAATGTAGATGATGCCAAGGAAGTAAGTAAACATTTACCTTTGTATTAAAAAAAAAAAAAAGGATTTCTGTTTAACTCCCAAGTACTAATGGACAAGTGCTTAGACAAGGACAGTTTTTGCTATTTATGGTATAAATAGGAGATATGTAACTACAGTTTTAGGTAAATCCTTCTAGCCTCAGATATCAAATTATACATTGAATTCTTTTTTCAAACTTTCATTGTGGGGAAATTTCAAATCCATGTGGATTAACTGAAAAATGATTTAAGACATTTGGTTCTATCACCTAGTTTGAATAGTTCTCAGCTATGGCTAGCTGTGCTGCAAATCTGTTCTTTCCATATAATTTTGAGATGATTGCAACATGTCACTGTTATTTCTGTAAATACGTATTACTGTTTTGGCATGTATAAGTAAAATACAGGAATATTAATAATTCTGTGATTTAGAGTATCAGTGTTTACATTGAGCTGTTTTCTAAGGTGGAAAATAATCTGAAGTGATGGTTATAACTTAATGTTTTAATTTTTTAGAAGTATATTGGCAAGTGAGTGGTGTATTTGGATTTTTATTTGACTTGAGGCAGGATGTAGTGGAACTTTCATGTGTGAGATTCAAACAGCATTTACATTTCAGACTTTAGATGAAAAGGTGTGGTAGCTGTGACATCATCTTAAGGGGGAAGGAACAAGAAAATCAGAAGCAATACAAACCTACTGGTTAATGTTTTTTATTTATTTTAGTTGTAGGTGCCAAAAGTTACACAATTTGGCCCAATCTCACTGACAGTGTAGTAGGCTTCTGAATTTTCTGATTCACTTGCTACAGCTATATGAACACTGGCTTGAAAATCTGTGCTAAAGTAGTAACATTGGAACTAGAAACTTAAATTCTGCTTAGGTTAAAGGCTGTTTCCTCAAATTATCAAACTTCTAAGACTTTGAAATGGGGTATTTTTGTTTTTAAATGCAGAGTTTTTCAGTTGGTGTATACTCTGGATAGGAGGATATGTGAATAAAACTTTGTAAAATCATAGGATCTCAGTTCTGCTTTTACAACCAAAAGCATCCATATGTAAAGGAAAGTGTGGCACTGTGTTCAGTCATTTATGGATTTCATTTGATTCCTAGCCACTTAGATTGTTAGTTTATGGATCATTAAGAGTCAGGCATCTGGCCATATTTGGCTCTCAGATAATGTAGTTTATCAACCATGCATCACTTTAGAGCTGGAAATATTGTTAAATTGTAGTAAAAGTTTCTACGACCAGCTTTCCCAAATGAAATGATTCATTTTTAAGTTTTAAGATTTCATGTTCTAGCCTATGTTAAATGTTTGATGACACTAACTGAAAGCGTCCACTAGGTTATTATTTTTAAGGCTATAGGATAATTTAGTATTTTTGTCTAAAATGCATACACCAATTTATTTATCTTTTGAAGGCTAAAGAACGTGCCAATGGAATGGAGCTTGATGGACGTAGAATCAGAGTTGATTTCTCTATAACAAAAAGACCACATACCCCAACACCAGGAATTTACATGGGGAGACCAACCTAGTAAGTTTACTTTGAAGATAAAAGTGTGATTGACAGTGAAGTTTGTTAATTTCTTCCTGAAAACACTTGATGAAGTGACACCTACATAAAATCCTGTGACCTCGTAAATCATTTTTCTTATCTCTTAGCTAGCTAAAACTAGGTAGATTGTATGTGATGGAAACATTCTATTTGTATCACAAATTTTGTTTGCCATCATTAAATCATTTCCTATAATAGGAATCTCAAACCGTTGTAGATAAAATCAAGTTTATTGTTGTTTTTTTTTTTTTAGAATATAATACATGGGCTCCAGTTACTGCACTGAAGTATAAAATACTTCTTATCATGACTCCCCAGCTGTGTACCATATTGACAGAAAACTTATTCATTTAAGTCTAAATATAATGTTCCATATAATAGAGAATTATGACTATGTTCCATGGTTGCCATATTCTCCTGACCAGCTAAACCTTAGCCTACTCAGAAAAATAAAATTTTATTTTTCCTTAGAAATGTGAACTAGTGAATTAACTTTATAAAGTATTTTTTAGTTGTAGATGGGCACAATACCTTTATTTTGTTCATTTTTTTATGTGATGCTAAGGATCAAACCCAGTGCCTCACATATACCAGGCGAGCGCTCTACCACTGAGTACTGAGCCATAACTCCAGCCCAATGAGTTGGCTTAATAAATGAGTGATTAGGACCTGTGAGCCTCCTTAACCAAAAGAGATGAAATATTGTTACAAGGGATGAGAAAAGGGAAAGGCAGATATTGGTGAGGATTATAATAAAATTCATTTTATATTTTAACATCAGAGAAGACCTACATATTGTAGATGCCACTATTTTTGTACAGGAGAAAAAGATCCAGTTGTGTACATAGATCTTGACTAAAAAACCCAGAACACTGCATAGTATTTTGCTATATATGTGTACTGATTTTTAATAGCATAAGTCTTATCTGGGAAGATAGAAAAGACTACTTGAATTTTTTAAAACGTGTATTATTATCATCACAGTGGCAGCTCACGCCGTCGGGATTATTATGACAGAGGATATGATCGAGGCTATGATGATCGGGACTACTATAGCAGATCATACAGGTATGTTATATGGAAGGCCATTACCCTTCTGAGTCTCAATTGTAAGGTATTATTTAAAGCAACACAAAGCTTAGTTTTTAGTAAAGGCTTTACTGTTGGGGCCATATCTCGGTGTTAGAGTGCTTGCGTGCTCACGGTCTTGATTTTGACCTCAGTGCCAAAAAGAAATAAAAGCTGGAGTTTAAATCAAATTTTAGGATTATGTGTCTTTAATTTGGTATCTGTATTTGCATTTTTGTTGAATGATTATTCTAAAATATTAAAGGGAGCTTTACCAAGAGTTAATAAATAATAAATAAAATAATAAAAATAATAATAAAACTTTATTTTAAACATTGTATATGAATCAGCTGAATTCCCTGAAAGTTGGCATGTGTTTCCATTTTGGCAGTGGTTGGGTAATTTAGCTATCAAGTAAAAAGTGTAAATTTATGTGATGATTAGATATGAACTATAACAGTTAACCTTGATGGGTTTGTGGCTTTGAGGTATGGATGTCTTTTTGCATGGTACTTTGATAAATTTTAAGAAATTGGAAGTTGTCCTAGCCAGGTTTATTTGCACATTCCTGTAATCCCAGTGATTCAGAAGATGGCAGAGTTCACAGATTGAGACCTGTCTTGGGATTTAACTCTGAGTTCAATCCCCAGTACCCAAAAAAGAAAAATCGATTAAATTGTTTATATATCGCTGTCTGTAGGAGTGAGTTTAAGTATGCTTTTGACATTGCCAACATTTAACCCACACAAACTCAAAAAAAAAAAATTTGTTCTTTCTAAGCAAGAAATACATGTTAAATAACACTTAAAAGTAGAGGCTAAGATTATAGTCTTCATTTTTCATTCACTTGGTAGCATTTACTTGGAAATGTTCTGTAGTGTTAATACTCCTTTTAGCCACCAGAGAGAGCACTGTGCAATTTTCTAAAAAGGATGGCAAAATGGACTATTTATTATACAACACTAGTATTCACTGGGCACAGTGCCAAACACCTGTAATCCCTCGTGACTCAGGCTAAGGCAGAATTTCAAATTTCAAGGCCAACCAGGAGAACTTAGCAAGACTTTACTCAAAAAGTAAAAAGAGCTAGGAATATAGCTCACAGTGGTTGAATACTTCTGGGTTCTATTTCCAGTATTGTGCCCCCACCCCCAACTAGTTTCACTCAAGGTTCATGAGTTTTTTTGTGGGGTACTGGGGATTGTGGAGCCACACCTGACCCCACACAAACACTTTTTTTCTTTTTTGGGGGGAGGGGATCCCTCCTAAGTTGCTGGGGCTGGCCTTATAAATTTGCCATCATGCCTCAGCCCCTTGAAACACTGAGATTAGAGATGTGAACTGCTGCACTTCGTTTTCGTTTTACCTTAAAACTAAATGTTGCTTTTCTGTCTTCACAGAGGAGGAGGTGGAGGAGGAGGTGGATGGAGAGCTGCTCAAGACAGGGATCAGATTTACAGGTATGTCAGGAAAGAATTTAAATCTGGACAAAAACAGAAAACATTAAAGATGTTTGCTATATAGATAGTGATATATATAGGTAGTTTTAAGTGGATTCACAAAATTGGATTTCTTTTAGTTTTAAAATACTCTTTAACAATAAAAAGGGCTTTGTAGTGTTCATAAAAGTTAATTTGACTTATAATAAGTAATTGGTGTCATTTCATAAATAATGAGGGAAGCAATTAAGTCATGGATATGGATGCAGATTTGTAGTCATTTGCTTATGACTGCTGTGTTCTTGTACTCTTAATTTCTCAGTTTTTCTTTTTTAAATAAGTACAACCTACTTGAAACACCAGTCAATTTTGTTTATGGTGTTATTCCATAAAAGTGGTTGTAATTAATGGTATAATTAATAATTAATTATAATTAATTAATAATTATATTCAAGACTAAGCACATTGTTTATTGATGGAATATAACAAGGAGTATTTGACCTGATAGTTTTTTGGAGATGCTTATGGATTCCAGTACACTAGGGCCCAGTATGATGTTCATTCTGAAAATTTAGCCTTTGAAGCCTAATGAAAAAAATTAGAGGTTTATTAGGTCCTTCTAGTTTTTTTTTTTGTATAATCGTAATTTGTAGAGACTTAGACATCCTTGACATTTGTTTACAGAAGGCGGTCACCTTCTCCTTACTACAGTCGTGGAGGATACAGGTCACGTTCCAGATCTCGATCCTACTCACCTCGTAAGTTTTTTATCTTTATGATATTGTTTATATATTATAATATTATGACTTGTTCTGACTTGGCATCTACAGCTAGTTGAGTGATCGTTTTGCAAATAATGGGTTGATCCACGTATTATCATTGTATATCTATTATATCCACGTTAGGATCCATTTATTTGTTAAATAAGCCTAACATAATCTGTCACCATTTTGTTTTTTCTGCTTTGGGAACTATTACAAATTTTGTACAACTGGAATTGTGTCCTTTATATGTTCTTGCATCTACTTTTTTGCTTTCCACATTTTTTTATGGGTACCTCATAGCTGTGCCTAATGATGGGATTCATTGTTACATAGTCATGTATGTAGTATGACAACATAAGTTGGCCAGTATCATTCCCCAACACTTATCCCCTCCCTCCCAGTTCGGGTTTTTAGACTCTTATCTCTCATCTAGTATTTAACATCTCATTTCTATTTTTTGTACACACATGCCTGTTATTCCCACAAAGGGAATCTGCTAGAAATTTCCTACTCGTAGAATAGTCTAATAAAGTTCTTAGCATTCAAATAAGCTTGATATACTGCTCCCTTAGCATTAAAGCATGTTTATTTTTCATTTTCTTTCCAGGTCGCTATTAAAGCATGAAGTTGAAGATTTTCTGAAACCTGCCATAGAGCTGGGATATTGTTTGTGGACAATATTTTTTATTGTCTGATGTTTAAAAAGTGAACAGTGCCTAGTGAAGTTAGGTGACTTTTACACCTTTTATGATGACTACTTTTGGTGGAGTTGAAATGCTGTTTTCATTCTGCATTTGTGTAGTTCGGTGCTTTGTTCAAAGTTAAGTGTTTTCAGAAAAGTATGTTTTGCATGTATTTTTTTACAGTCCAAATTTTGACTGCTGAGAAGTTTCTATTGTACAAAACTTCATTTAAAAGGTTTTTCTACTGAATCCAGGGTATTCTGAAGATCGAAGCCTGTGTGTAAAATGCTACCAAATGGCAAAAAGCAACAATAAACAATTTGATTTTTACTTTTCTTTCTAACATATCAGTGCTTAGAACTATTCCAATTTGTCAGTAGTAAATTTAAAGACAAAACTGCCCATTTTACTCCAGTCCATGAAACATAAACCATATTTAATATACTTGCAAATAAATGTTAAAAATATGCTCTGTAACTCTGTACTGCTAGTATTAGAACTAAAAATCTTTCAATACAGCAAGCGCTTAATGCTTATAAATGTGGATTTGTCAGCTTTTATGTAATCTGTATCATAGCAGAGGAATAAGAAGAGTTACACATTGTATCCCTTAAGGCTGTTTCTTGAAAGCTGTTACAAGGGGATAATGGTATTTCATCTAGTTATCAGCAAGTAACAATACATTCCACCACATATGTACTCTTGTTATAGTTTTTAGACTATATGAGAAAACTGGGTGCTTCAGAATGTGGGGTAAGAGAAGGGAACACTACACCTGTGTCATGGATGAACTGAAGACATTGCCTGTTCATTTTTTAAATATTTTCAGGTCCTTTGCTTACCAAAGGAGGCCCAATTTCACTCAAATGTTTTGAGAACTGTGTTAAATAAATGCAAATGAAGAGACAAAAATACTGGTGCAACTCAGTTTACAAAGAAGTGTTGGTTTTCTTTTGATCTTGTGGTAATTAGGTTAGTTGTTTAGGCCCTGATGTGGTATGCTTCTTGGGCTGAGATTTATACTTCGTTTTTTTGTTGTTTTAAGATTGTTTCTCAGAAGTACATTTAGAGTGGATAAGTAGATTTGGGGGTGAAGTTATATAACTTTACCCTCCACGCACATCCTGAGGGTTACCTAGAATACCTTGGTATCAGTTCTTTTACATTTAATTTATTCTTACAACCAATTCTGAGAATGTCATAGGTAATGGTGTTATGCTACTGGCTTTTATAGCACTTAGATATAATTCAGTATGTCCCAGTATGTATGTGTTTTGCATTAATTTCACTTAACAATCATGATGTAAAGTGACATAGATCAAAAGGCTGCTAAGGTGGCATTTGGGCCTAGGTGGTCTCAATCCAGCTCTTCTTTTTTTGTTGTTTGTTTTTTGTTGGTAGGACAAAAAAATTTCCCAGCCTATTTATTGGCCTAGGGTATACAGCATCCTTGGGAATAACCATGTCTCATTGATGTATCCTACAAAAGTATTTGGGTTGATCTGTTAATAATACAAATCCCATTTATACCATCTGTTTTTAAGATGGATTTTCACTCCTATCTTCCAACTTTGTTCTTGGTCTGTCGCATGGAAAGGTTCATTCTTGGTTTTGTTTGGTTTTTGTACTGAAGAGCCCAGGAGCACTCTACTATGGCCCTTAAGTTTTATGGCAGGGTCTCACTAAGTTACTGAAACTGCCCTCTTGGAACCTTGCTTCAGTCTTAACTGAGATTACAAGCATGCTCCACCACACTCAGAGGTTCATGTTTTCTCTTAATATTTTTTTAGTTGTTGATGGACCTTTAACTTACTTATCTATATGTGGTGCTAAAAATTGAACCCAGTGCCTCACACATAGTATGAAGTGCTTTTAACACTAAATTACAATATCACCCTGAAGGTTCATATTTTAAAATGAGCCAGGCACAGTGGTGCATGCCTAAAATCCCAGTTACTCTGTATGCTGAGGTGGGATACTTGTGAATTTGAGCCTACCCTGCACGTGGAGCAAGAATTACATCAAAAACCAAAATCAAGGCTCTCAAAGTTGTTTGTTTCAGGAAAGTTGTTGACCTTGGACCAACCTGTAAAGCCAGTGCTTTTACCCATTATAGTACACCAACTTGCTATCACTCCATACCCTAAATCTGCCTGCTTCCTTAAAGGCAAAATCTTGTGAGCATGTGACATTTTTCACCCTGAGGATGTTTTAATTGGTGGTTCTGATTATAGAATATTGGGGGTTTAGATTTCGTGATGCTGGTGTATATCTGCACATAGAAATACACATGAACTAGGCATAAGTAATGCCCAGCTGCAAGTGTAATAGTGACACGTTCATGCAAATGTCAACATCTGAATTTATTGAAAGTTATGGGAAGTATTTCCAGTCCAGGTAGAATAATAGGATTCCTTTGATATATTTCTACTAGCTGGGTGCAGTGGTACATGCCTATCCCAGCTGCTCAGGAGCTGAGGCAGAAGGATCCCAAGTTCAAAGCCAGCCTCAGTAAGAAAGCTAGGCACTAAGCAACTCAGACCCTTACTCCAAATAACATAAGAAATAGGGATGGGGATGTGGCTCAATGGTTCCAAGCCCCAGCGTTCAATCCCCAGTACTGCCCACCACCACCACCTCCACAAAAAGATATCTACTAATTTTGAGTTTCTCAATTGGCTTCATCTGTTAAGTTTAAAAGATTGAATAACCTTTTCACCCAGATTACAAGGATATATGGGATCCCTATGGATTTACTATGGAGTTGATAAAGTTGGATAGAGTGGTTTGAATATCTAGTTGCAAATTCGTATTACAAGCCTGTCTCCAACAGTACTATAATTTGTTAACTTCTGAACTGCGGGCTATGGTGGTGCACCTGTAATCCCAGTAGCTCAGGAGCTGAGGCAGGAGGATCAGAGTTCAAAGCCCAGCCTCAACAAGTGAGATGCAAAGCAACTAAATTGAGACCCCATTTCTAAATAATACAAAATAGGGCTGGGGGTGTGGCTCTGTGGTCAACTGCCCCTGAGTTCAGTCCCCGGTACTGCATCCCTCCACCCCTGCCAAAACAGCATTCTGGAGTAGCGTTATGTAATGACATTCTGCATCTGCCTACTATTCCCAATCTGCTTTTTTCCCTAACCAACCTATACACAAAAATTGCCACATCAGGGGTCTGGGGATGTGGCTCAAGTGGTAGCACGCTCGCCTGGCATGCGTGCGGCCCGGGTTCGATCCTCAGCACCACATACAAACAAAGATGTGTCCGCCGAAAACTAAAAATTAAATATTAAAAAAATTCTCTCTTTAAAAAAAATTGCCACATCACCCAAAGGAAACAGTGTATTTGGGACATTACATGGAGTATTGAATAGGAAATAAGTAGGAAGGTTAATGGTAATGGTGTGGGAATTCTAGCTATTAAGAACACATTTTTAACAACCTGGATTCCTACCTTAAACCAGATTTTTTTTAGCTCTGATTTAATTTTGGGGTTGATGGTGCAGGGGAGAGTACTGGGGATTGAACTCAAGGACACTTAACCACTGAGTTACATCTCCACTGCTAGACATGCATCACAGGCATGTGCCACCATTCTTGGCTTTAGTAACTCTGTTCTGTGAGCTTCCCTGTTATCTGCCAATTAAGGATCTTTTTAAAGCCAGTTAAAGCTGAATTTTCTCACATAACATCCAATGAAGGTTGAGGGGGGCAGCACTCCAAGGTCAGGGTCAGTGGTCAGTCACACCCCCACACGGACAGGCTCTCGCACCAGGAGAGGGTCGGGAAAGCTCCGACACAGTTTAGCCAGAGCGCCTCACACCCAATCCGGGAGTTGCCCAATCGTGTGAGAATGGCTTCCCACAGCTGAGGCTAGCTTTTGGACTTTTTTGGTGGTGCAGCGCATATTGGGGATTGAACTCAGGGACACCCCACCACTGGCTTTGGACTTTTGATCCTCCTGACTCAGCCTCCCAAATCACTGGGATTACAGGCATGTACCACCATGCCTAGCATGAAGTCTTGCCTGGAAGTAAAGGAACTCGGGGCTTTCATACAGCAGGGCCAGCAATGTGTTGCTTTTAAAGCTGCAGGACTGAGACTACTAAAACCAAATATAGTTGATTGGAGGGTTGCTGAATTAAAATACTTTGTAATCACTAGGGTCTCTTAGCAGGGCATGATGGCACACACCTGTGATCCCAGTGGCTTTGGAGACAGAGGATCACAAGTTCAAAGCCAGACTTGGCAACTTAATAAGGCTCTCAACAACTTAGTGAGAACCCCGGCTCAAAAGGCTGGGAATGTGACTCAATGGTAAAGCACCCCTGGGTTAAATCCCCAGTACATGGGCCTCGGGATGTGGCTCATGTGGTAGTGTGCTTGCCTGGCATGCGTGAGGCACTGGGATGTTCCTCCATGGTAGCGCGCTTGCCTGGCATGCGTGAGGCACTGGGTTCGATCCTTAGCACCACATAAAATATATTGTGTCCATCTAAAACTAAAAAATTAAGGAACCCCCAAGCCCTCTGGTATGATCTTTAAAGTTTTCTTTATAATAAGAAATGTGTGCTTCAATCAGGTAAACAATTCTCAGCCCTCACTTTTCATTACGAGGATTTTAGCTCTGTTGCCCAGGGGAAGAATTGTAGGTTTTGAATAGGACAAAATTTCAGAAGTAGTTGTTTTATTTACATTGTTAAAATTATAAATTTCCGGGGGGTGAATTAGGAAGATGGATTCAGGTTTATTGGTTTTACCATGCACACCAATTTTGCTTCAGGCCACGTGGTTTTCAACTTCTAAGCCTGGACTTAATGATTGAGTCTGCCAAATGACATCAAAAGGTAGAATGCATTTGAGATGATGTAGAGGAATGAGATTGCTGGATTGGTTCCCTATACATTCTACTCACTGCCTTTACCTTAACAGTACCCAAAGTATTTCTTCTTTACTAAGAGATGAAAGTGAAATGAGGTATCAGGTTATTGCAGGTCAGGTGATGACTTAAACTCTAGGAAGCCAATGTAGGCAAGTTAATAAAAGCAGCAGGGTGGTCGGTGTGTGTTGATTACAATTAGTGTGTGAAGTGGTCTGGTAACAAATATTTAAAGCTGTTGGATACTAGCTTCACAGAATAAAGTTAATAGATCTTAATTATATATCAAAAAAATGTGAACATAGGCCTGACACAGTAGAGATTTCTAGGCGTAAGCCTATTGATTGAAGAAAGCCAGACCTAAAAGGACCACATGTAATAAGAATCTTCCTAGCTTTGCCAAAGCATTCTGCAGCCATCTACCTACCTCAGTGTTGGGAGAAAGACA